TTCTCACATCTGTGCATCACGACCTTGGAGCGTCAGAAATCGCCTCTCTTCTTCTCTAGATGCTAATCAGCACTAACACTGGTGGGGGTGTTTTTGTTATAAAAAAAAATAAAAAAATAAAAAAAAGATGCTAATCAGGCTAACCAGCAGGTGTTGCTCCCCACCAATAGATGGAGCCTCTCCCTTGGTGATAGCAGTGTCTGCTCTTATCAGCACCGCTAGCACTAGAGGGGGCGTGTTAAAAAAAAAAAAAAGAAGAAGAAGAAGAAGAAGAAAAACTTCAAAAAAGGCTAAATTACCCTATGTTCGCGCAGCTGGAGCACGAGTCCAGACCTGGCTTGCCGACATGGCGACACCTGAGTTGTGCTTCGGCGCCAATGGGACCAGCCAGCTCCATTGGCGATGTCGCTGCCTCAGTTGGAACAAGTCCAGAACCCTTTTTTCCTCCTTTTTTTTTTTTTTTTTTGTTTGTTAAGGAGCTGTCACCATCCACATGAAAAATTCCAGAATTCCTTGAAGAATTCATTTACAGTTTTACATTTGAATCTGCTATATTTTTTTTTTGGTTGTTCGATAGACACAATGAATGACTTCCACTAACATTAGTGTTCTCTGCGTCCCATTCCTTTGATCTGCACCCTTTCACCTCATCCCCCCCCCCTTTCTGTTCACAAACACGGCCAAAGGTGTCCCCTCTAATCGTAAGATTAGAGTGTGCATCCAGCTATATCGGGAAAACATTCATTTACATTACTTGGATGGATCAATCCCAAGGGAAGTCCTGTGTTGATTTGATAAATATTAGCAAGAGGATCCCTTAGAGACTATGAAAAGAAGTAGATAGAAGATATGGAAACAGTTTTACTCCAAGGCGCTCTTTTACCCGTTCAGTAGCCACAGCCTCTACAAATGCCCCCCCCCCCCCCTACTCCTCTCACAAACAACTCCAGTGCCACCAGTCCCACATAATTCGGCGGGACAGACCCGCCATCCTGTTATCTGGGGGCTCCGGGAATCTCACAACATCTTAAAAAAAAAAAAAAAAAAAAAAAAAAAAAAAAAAAAAAAAAAAAAAAAAAAAAAGGCTACCAGAGGGGTTGGCAGGCCTCACACAAAAAAACACTGAATCAGTCAATCCTGCTCAGTCAATCCCCTGGCCTCCAGGGCAATCAATGCTGGCAGGTTCTTCCTAGTTTTTCTGAWGTGTTCTGATGATTTCCATTTGTATCATACTCATAAGGGACGCTGGACCCGTTTTCCAGCAGGTGATGCTCCCCACCAATAGATGGAGCCTATCCCCAGGTGCTA